CCGGGATGACATATTTAAACAGCCAAGTAATTTCTATTTATAAGTCATGAATTTACCAGCTATTTGTGGGGGCTTGGATAATGGTATTCCACATGGTTCTTGATTGATATATAACAACAAACTGATGAGAGGAACCACAATTTAGTCACATAGCACTTAATTCAGGAACATGGAAGTATCATTCAATCAAGAAATATTTATCGAGCATATACTCTTTTAGGTGCTGAAGATACACCAATGAGCAAAATAGAGAAGTGCTTGTCCTCAAAGATGTTATATTCAAGCAGCTATAAGATAGACAATAAACAAATGAATAATTTAATTTATAATATGCTAGATGCTGACACCTTCTGTGAAGAAAGCTAAAGGGAGAAAATGACAGGAGAACTATTACTTTATATAAATTGATTAGGGAAGGTCTCACTGATGAAGTGGTGTACAGTAAATAGTTATCTACATAGAAAAAGCATAGAAAGGCGTGGACTGACAACCCAGGTTGTCACAGTCCTGGTGTGTAATTCCTCTCTCTCTCCCTCCTTCCTTCCTCCTCCTTTCTTTCCTTTCTTCCCTCCACAAATATTAATTAAAAAGAGATGCAGAGTCCCTTAACTCATTTTGCTAATCCAAATCAATTTCCTTAGCTCTCCAAGCAAGAGATACACTTAGAATTTGCATCTTCTCTAAAACAAGGAAGCGATAGATACTTAAAATATTAAAATCATGGTTAGAGAGAACTAGTACAGACCAGGTAAAAAGACAACCTGTACGTGGTAAAGAATCACCTACAATCAAAAGAGGATGAAATAATGAAATGACTATGTTTTCCCTTTTTTCCCCTTATAAATTTCTTATAGGACCATTACCCTTGAAATGGCAAATGGCATCTTCTGAACATCCTTGCGTGAATAAGATATCTGATTGGAAGTTGGGGATACTTCAGAACGGCTTGTATTTAATTTATGGTCAAGTGGCTCCTAATGAAACCTACAAGGAATTAGCTCCTTTTAAGGTTCAGCTACGTAAAAATGAAGACATCATACAAACTCTAACAAACAAGTCTAAAATTCAGTATGTAGGAGGGACTTATGAATTGCATGCTGGAGATGTAATAGAGTTGATATTCAACAGTGAACATCAGGTCCTAGAAAATAATACGTACTGGGGGATTATTTTACTAGCAAATCCCCAATTCATCTCCTAGAGACTTGATTGTTTCCCTCTTCCTTTTCAGCAAATGCAGAGATACCACTGGTGGGGAGGGTTCTAGGGGGCATATTTTCAACGCCTACAGTTTGTCTGGATACACAAATCAACACAAATGAACTCCTCTGCGTGTGAATTTTCATCTCTCATGCTTATCTGAAAGAAACTCAGAGGAAAGGCTAAAGACTTTTGATTACCCCTCGTTGGTTCTGCAAAAATACTTCACTAATCCATGATAAAATGAATATGTGTGGCAGAGGCCAGAAGCTCTTCAAAGACTCTTCGTCTAATCCTTGAATCTCCGAATGGAAAAATGAAGTCCTGTTCCCATGGGAGCCTTACTTGGTATGCAAAGGATCCAGGGCAATAGACTGACTTCGTTCTCATATTTGCAGGCTGGTTTACTTTATTCTTTTCATGCCACCATCTTCTGAGACCCTCCTAATAAAAAGTCGTCAGACTGGTAGTGTGGCCACAGATATGCCAACAATACCCTACTTTAAATGTGGTGATGCAAGAGAATAGAGAACACTCTAAGAACTATTGGGATAGAGGCACAGGTGGCATGAAGTGGAATATACTTTATCTGGGAATTTCCCTTGGTTTCATCAAACTCAGGATGCAAGGTGCATTATAAAACCAGTTGGTCAAAGGAATCATCCTGAACATTTATCTAGGGCTTCATGAGAACTCATTGTTTGTATGTATGTCTAAACATTGCTAATGGTAAAGAAAGAGTAATCATTAGACGTCATTGGATTTAACCCAGAAAATTGGTATTACCATTACTGTATTATGTCACGTAATGATTTCACATTTTTAGCTGGCTTTCCACAGTTTGCAAAGTGCTTTCATATATCATGTGGCAACCCTGTGATGTTAATAGGGCAGGTATTTTTGGCAAAATTTAACAATGAGAATATGGAGGCAAATGGAAACACTGGTAACTTGCCTTAACTCATATAACTAGTTACTAACAGAGACAATGGGCTTTCCTTGGTATCACACTGCCTCAGCTTTGGAACTGATGTTTCTGCTGTCATATTATAAGTTTATAAAATTGAGCAAATTAAGTTTTCAGGAGGCATATTCCCCTTCAGCCCAAGGTGGATAGAGTGAAGCTAGAGCAGGTCTTTTCTTTACCAGCAGAATTCTTTCCCTTTCTCTGCCTGGAGCACTAGAGTGCTGCTCAGGACTTACTCCAACCAAATCCCCTTCTTCACTTTGAAGAGCCCATCTCAGTCAAATGTGCTAACTTTTAAAAATAATGAATAGCACTCAATTCAAAGGTTGTAAATTGTTAAATGAGCTGCTCGTAGGTACTTGTTTTAAACCAATTAAAAATATTTATGGATATTTGTAAAAAGCTACATTATATTAATTAATATTATCACATATTAAGCTAATTTAAAAATATTTGTATTGTGTATATAAAAAAATTGCTTGTGAGTAGGCAAAGCCTGAGGCCAAGCTGTTTCTTTTGTAAGTCTTTTTTTTTTTTTTTTAAAACATGTGTGGAGTAGCTATAAGACCAAAGACTTGGATACCTTTTTCCTTTTATATTTGCATATCATCTCAGGAAGTCCAAGTTGTGTCATATATATCTATAGGAACTTGATCTTTGTTGAGTCATAAGCAGCAGGAAATTTTCACTCTGGTTGTTAATTTTAGCCATCCTTGAAATTGGCTATGGTGGAAGTATTTAGACCATAAGGATTGGCAAACACTACAAATCAGGGCTTTTCCTTCTGGACAGCTGACTTACCAGCACACCACTGTTCACCAAACTCTCCTTCAAAATGACTCCTCTCTGCCCCTGCCTCATTTCCAGGACAGTAAAGGCAGGCTAAGGGAGAAAGTGCAATTGTCACATTCCCAGCAAAAGTCCAGTACAGTAGTGATTTCTCAGGGCAAGCAGAGGTCTCTGCAGCTACAGCCAGAGGAATGGCTACCAACAGACGATCTTTGAATTTTCCTGGTTTTATAATTTCAGCTTTTGTTTTCAATGTATACTCTGCTTCCTTGTTTCTTCACATAGTAGTCTGCATTTTAAAACTAATAAAATATATATTAGCAACTGGACTGCCGCTGATTTATCTGTGTGTTATCTAGAGAACATGAAGGTACATGAGAAAAACTCTTGTCCATATGAACTAGAGAACATGAAGGTACATGAGAAAAATTCTTGTTTTTTTTTTACACTGCATGTCAAGATTGAGCGAAAGTGAGAGCTAGATGCAATTAGTTTTTGGTCATAGTAGTTCCCATTCCTAATGGGTCAGTCCTACAGTGCATGTCAAGATTGAGCGAAAGTGAGAGCTAGATGCAATTAGTTTTTGGTCATAGTTGTTCCCATTCCTGATGGGTCAGTCAGTCAGTTTCACTTTGTGATGTCCGTCCACGTCCTCTCCTCCACCCTGCCCATGCTCACCATCAAAGCCATCATCAACCTTTCTCACACTGTTTTTTGCTTCCATTTTTCCCCATGAAAGCTGACCAATACTGTGTTATATGACTGGGGATTAAGTCTCTGCTTCTGAAGATGGCAGTTAACAGAAAAGTGACACAGTCTTGTGCATTTGTTGGAACAGACAAACTCCTTAGACGGAGAGCATCTTGGAGATGAAACTTCTGCCTTTATGTTATATCCCAGTGAGGCAATTTTACTGGGGGTGTGTGTGTGTGTGCATATTTTTTTAGTAGAGAGAAGGAAAAGCAAAACTCTGATTGACTGATGGGTCAGCTATTTGAGGATTTTCTTCAAGTAGAAGCTCTCAATGATGCCTTGGCATAAACACATTCCTTGACCTAAAAGGATGCATGTCTATCCTAGAGCTCATTAGTGTCTCTAGGAGAGTAACTACACGGATCATGACTCTCCCATGAGTCCCACATCTATCCACAGGAAACTTGTACACATGCCTTGTCCCTACAAAGTAGAAGAGTACAAGATCACCTCAATATAGCACAATTCTCCTGTCTCCACTACCAAGCAGATTGCCCTTCTCTTTCCAACAGATTTCTTGGGTGTGGTCAGACTCTAGCCCACTGTCAGTTTTAGCTTTCTCAGGTGCTAGGCAGGTACCAGTTTTTTTTTATCTCCTAACCACAAGAAATATATTTTGAAGCTTTCTTAGAGGTTCCCATGACATCCCCTTACAGGCTTGAGGTTAGAAAGGTCTTTTGTGCCTTATCCCTCCTATAAAGGGAAAGGGGTAGGACTCACAGCACGGCCACAGCTCTCCATAAATGTTATCATCCATCTTTCCTTATCTCTATTGTGTCCTCATTCTATATTCTTCATCTAGACGAAGTGTCTAGAAGTGGGCAGAGGGGCGGGGGCTTACTTTCATTCCCTTTATAAATTCCGCATATTACAGAAGGAGGAATTGTCTTACTCTCATTTCTGTCTCCAGGTACCAATCATATTGTCTGAGCTGAAACTGAGTCAGGAAGGGTTCCACTTTAATATCTAGTTTTACTTTTGTGTTTAAAAGATATATGGAGGACTTATAACAAAATGCAGAAACAATAAAAGCCCAAACCATCATCAAGGATCAAAAAAAAAGTGCTAAACAAAAATGTAGAGTGAGAGGAAAATTATTGTTCAGAAAGTCAGACTTAACATCATTACACATAAACATAAAACATTGCTTTTAATTTCTCATTAGTAAAGGAAAATTAGAGNATATTTGTAAAAAGCTACATTATATTAATTAATATTATCACATATTAAGCTAATTTAAAAATATTTGTATTGTGTATATAAAAAAATTGCTTGTGAGTAGGCAAAGCCTGAGGCCAAGCTGTTTCTTTTGTAAGTCTTTTTTTTATTTTTTTTATAAACACGTGTGGAGTAGCTATAAGACCAAAGACTTGGATACCTTTTTCCTTTTATATTTGCATATCATCTCAGGAAGTCCAAGTTGTGTCATATATATCTATAGGAACTTGATCTTTGTTGAGTCATAAGCAGCAGGAAATTTTCACTCTGGTTGTTAATTTTAGCCATCCTTGAAATTGGCTATGGTGGAAGTATTTAGACCATAAGGATTGGCAAACACTACAAATCAGGGCTTTTCCTTCTGGACAGCTGACTTACCAGCACACCACTGTTCACCAAACTCTCCTTCAAAATGACTCCTCTCTGCCCCTGCCTCATTTCCAGGACAGTAAAGGCAGGCTAAGGGAGAAAGTGCAATTGTCACATTCCCAGCAAAAGTCCAGTACAGTAGTGATTTCTCAGGGCAAGCAGAGGTCTCTGCAGCTACAGCCAGAGGAATGGCTACCAACAGACGATCTTTGAATTTTCCTGGTTTTATAATTTCAGCTTTTGTTTTCAATGTATACTCTGCTTCCTTGTTTCTTCACATAGTAGTCTGCATTTTAAAACTAATAAAATATATATTAGCAACTGGACTGCCGCTGATTTATCTGTGTGTTATCTAGAGAACATGAAGGTACATGAGAAAAACTCTTGTCCATATGAAACACTGCATGTCAAGATTGAGCGAAAGTGAGAGCTAGATGCAATTAGTTTTTGGTCATAGTAGTTCCCATTCCTAATGGGTCAGTCCGTCAGTTTCACTTTGTGATGTCCGTCCACGTCCTCTCCTCCACCCTGCCCATGCTCACCATCAAAGCCATCATCAACCTTTCTCACACTGTTTTTTGCTTCCATTTTTCCCCATGAAAGCTGACCAATACTGTGTTATATGACTGGGGATTAAGTCTCTGCTTCTGAAGATGGCAGTTAACAGAAAAGTGACACAGTCTTGTGCATTTGTTGGAACAGACAAACTCCTTAGACGGAGAGCATCTTGGAGATGAAACTTCTGCCTTTATGTTATATCCCAGTGAGGCAATTTTACTGGGGGTGTGTGTGTGTGTGCATATTTTTTTAGTAGAGAGAAGGAAAAGCAAAACTCTGATTGACTGATGGGTCAGCTATTTGAGGATTTTCTTCAAGTAGAAGCTCTCAATGATGCCTTGGCATAA